AAAAAGAAGCTACTGGAAAGCATCATGCAAACTACAACTTGTGCATTTGGATATTTGTGGATCTATGACTCTAGAATCCAAGAGTGGAGAAAAGTACCTAATCACGATGATTTTAGTAAAAAAGTATTGAGTTTATTTTATTTTAGTAAAGTTATAAGCTCTTAATATATTCAAAAAATTCAAAAGTTTAGTTGAAAAATAGGTTGGTTCTTTAATGGGTAGTTTAGGAACCGACAGAGGTGAGGAATTCACTTCCAAAGATTTCAATGAGTACTGTCTTTTGAATGGGATCAAAAGACAACTAACTACAGCATACACTTCTTAGCAAAACGGTGTTGCTGAGAGGAAGAATAGGACAATTATGAATCTAGTTAGAATCATGTTGTTAGAAAAACATATTCCTAGATATTTCTGGTTAGAGGCAGTAAACTAGAGTGTATATATACTAAACAGGAGCCCTATTTTGGCAGTTAAAGATCTTACACCTGAAAAACATAGAGTTGTGTTAAACCTTCAGTGGAATACTTTTACGTGTTTGGTTGTATTAGTCACATTCATATTCCAAATATGAAAAGAACAAAGCTAGATTTAAGGAGTTTGAAGTGTGTATTAATGGGAGTAAGTGAAGAAACAAAAAGCTATAGAATGTATAATCCAATTACAAAGAAAATCATGATTAGTCATGATGTGATCTTTGAAGAAAATGAAGTTTAGGACTAGACAGAAGGTGACACCAATTTATTACTAAAATAGGAAGATAATGTGATCGATATAGCTAAAGAATTTAAAACTAAAGTTGAAGAGCAAGACCAAGAGCAATTTGAAGACCAAGAGCAATATGAAGTAAATAATTATTCAGCTAGAGTAATTACTTCTTCATCAAATTCATCTTCAGCAAACTCAACTAAAGAAAATGAACCTAATCAACGTGCTGAACATAATCAACTTGCTGCTGCTAATTAACCTACTGCTAGAATTCAAAGAACACCATACTAGATGCAGGATTATATCATAGGTACAACTGCTACTAATCAACCTGCGGAACACAATCAATTTGCTGCTAATAATCAACCTACTGCCAAAATCCAAAGAACACCATACTGGATGTAGGATTATGACACATGTGCAAATTTCTTTGAAGAAAAAGAAACTTAAAACATGGTATTTTATACCACTGTCGGAGATTCATACACCTATGAAGAAGCTTCAATAAAAAGGGAGAGGTACATAGGAATTAATTGTGCTTCCAAAGCATGCAAGAAAGATTGGCATAAAGTGGATTTATAAGATAAAAGCTCAATAAAAAGGGGGAAGTTGACAAATACAAAGCTAGGCTTGTAGAAAAAACATATGCACAACAACATGGGATTGACTACACTAAAATGTTTGTACCAGTAGCATGATGGGATATAATCTGGATGGTCCTCGCTATGACAGCACAAAGAGATTGGAAAGTGTATCAATTGGATGTAAAAAGTACATTCCTCTATGAAGAATTAAATAAAGATGTATATGTAGAGCAGCCCCTAGTATATGAGAAAAAAGGAGAGGAATACAAAGTTTTCAAGTTAAAGAAAGCATTATACGGATTGAAACAGACATCAAGAGCCTAGTTTTAGTAGAATTGAATTATATTTTCTAAAGAAAGGGTTTGTTTGATGTGCAAGTGAGTATACTTTATTTGTAAAACTCAACAAAAATGTCAAGGAGAAAGAAAGATTATGGTGGTGAGCTTGTATGTGGATGACCTGGTATTTACTGGAAATGACAAGGAAATGTTTACAGATTTTAAAGCTTCAATGCAACAGGAATTTGCTATGACTGATTAAGGTAAAATGAAGTTCTTTATTGGAGTAGAAGTTGTGCAAAATGATGAAGAAATTTCTTAAGTTAAAAGAAATATGTTTTAGAGATCTTGGATAGGTTTGGCTTGGAGAATGCAAATTCTATTCGTAATCAAATAGTACCAAGTATTAAACTAATAAAGAATGAAGATGAACAACAAGTGTACATGACTTAATACAAGCAGATGGTTGGTAACCTTATTTATCTATCAGTTACAAGGCCATACCTTATGTTTGTAGTGAGTTTAGTTAGTAGATATATGGAGCGACCAACAAATATACATATGCAGGCTATCAAAAGAATTTTGAGGTAGGTAAAGGGAACAATGGACTTGAGAATTTGCTACAAATGGGGAGCTGTAATTGATGAAATATTAGTGGTATTTTTTTATAGTGACTATGTCAGTGATTAAGATGATCATAGGAGCACTTCTAGATATGTGTTTATGTTTGGTGGAGGAGTTGTTGCATGGAGTTCGAAGAAACAACCAATGGTTTTTCTTTTAACAACTGAGGCAGAATTCATATCTATAGCTCATTGTGCTTGCCAGATAGTATGGATAAGAAGAGTGCTTGAAAAATTAAATCGCAAACAAGATACACCAACTATCATATACTATGATAACACGTCTATGATTAAACTAGTAAAAAATCCAGTTATGCATGGCAAAAGTAAGCACATAGACGTCAGGTTTCACTTTCTACATGAGCTATGTAAAGAGGGTGTAATTGGGTTGAAACACTGCAATACATGAGATCAAGTTACTAACATCATTATAAAAGCATTAAAAGATTGCAATACATGAGATCAAGTTACTAACATCATTATAAAAGCATTAAAAGATAGACATGTTTGAGAAGCCAAGAAATTTAATGGGCATATATGTGGTATCAAATAAATAAACTACTAAACAATGCAATTTAATGGAGGAATTGTTGGAACTAATTCAGTTAATAAATGTCACAGTTTTTAGGATTAAAAGATTAAATTTGATTTATTTCTTATTCACTAAACCATGTTTGTAGGACTGTTAAATATGTGTTGTATATTTTTCTGTTTCTCTGTTGTAATAGTTGAATATATAATAGCTCTACTTCATTAAATAAACTTATGCTATTTTTTTATTTTTTTTTATTTTTGTGTTTAAAGGATTATGACTCTAACATATTGATCGTTATGTTTAGATCAAGGTAAGACTAATAATATGACGGACTATTTTTTTAAAATTGTTTATAGCTACATTTTATCTATAAATTGTAATTTTTATTGTAAAACACATACACACATGCAATTTAAGCATTAAGTTCTTCCTAACATGTTTATGAAAGTGTTTGATTTGAAACAATTGTTTGCTTCCTTTCTATATATTTATTTTTTAAGTAATCTAAGGACTTAATCATATATATATATATATATATAAACACAAGTTTTGACTAATAGAATAATTTAAAAGAGTAGCGCCATGGGATCTTAATTTCTGGCTCTTTTTATATATAATTTTCATATATTTGTGTGTATTTGTTTATTATTATTCATAGAATATTTTCATATAGTAATATAAAATTATTATTGTTACTCTGCCACATGATTAGTTACCTCTAAACCAGTAAAAAATCTTTCCACATATATAGCAGGTTACGAATAGATATTTTCATCACTCAAATTCAGTAAACTTAATTCAAATGATTTTGTTGTACAACAGCCGATTAGTTACCTCTAAACCAATCAAAAATCTTTCCACATAGCAGGTTATGTCTAAGAAATAGGTAAATGCAACGTGTTTTTCATATAAGAACTTTGGGACCATAGCGAGATAAGATTATCTACGACCCATACCTAAACAAAGAAAATAAAAGACACAAGCCATCTTCTTCATTTTTCAAAAGAAATCTTTATATGCTTTACATCTTAACAAAATTCAAATTAAATTAGGTTGTAATTGTGATTTTTTAAAAGAATATATTAAAATAATATTTTTTTTATTTTTTAAAAATTATTTTTAAGATTAATAAATCTAAATAATTTAAAATATATATGAAAAAATATTTTTAATTAAAAAATAAACTATTATAGAAGGCGATACAAACTATGCCTTGATGTTACAGGTAACTTCAACCACATAGGTTCTACTAGTAGCAAGGAAAATGCCTAGAGGTGCATTGAAATTTTTATTCACTTCAGTCGCGCTGAACAAGCCTTTTGATAGTAAATTATAACTTAGTCCTTGTAGTTGAAGACGATGGTTAAGAAATCCTTATAGTTTTAAAGATTTTATGTTTAAACCCAAAATATTTAAATTTATTTGCACTTCAATTAGTATTCTATGAATTTATGTTCCTTTTCAAAAAAAAATTTCTATTACTTGTAAAGGCAAGATAAAGAGGAGCTGGTAGGTTGTGACAAAAAATAAATTAAAAATAGTTAACATCACTCAAGGAGTTATTCTTATTTTTTTATTTTATAAGGAATAATTAATTACGCTTGATAAACTACTGAGATGAAGTTATAATTAACATCATAAAAGAAGTCATAGCATATCTTTCTTTCCTTTTCTGTCTCTTTTTTTTTTCATATTTATATATTGCTTTGACTATTGGTTTTATGACCTTCTTCTATGATTATTAAAAGAAAACAAGTTATAATTAACTCTTTCCATCCTCTTTCAATTTGAAAATGAAGGTGACCTGCAAACTGGACCACTGCTCTGATATTTATTCACGAGTGAAGTTGACGTAGTTTGCCGTTTAGGGGGGTTTGTGCATTGTCATCTAATGTGACTGCTTGGCTAATACACCGTGTGTATCGGAGGTCATCTTGGAAGCAAATTGAAGCCATTGGCCAGTGCTTATGTCGACTGCGAAGTAGGATGAGCAATTGAATCTTTAATTTTGATGAGATTATGGAGAGCTGTAGAATGGTCAGATGTTTCTTTGTTTTATCTGTAAGAAAAATAGTAAGTAAATACTTTTAGAACAATCAAAAGGACTTAATGAAAGCAGAAAAAGTTAAGGTTCGGTAGCCTTTTCCTTTATGTTTTTGTTTTTTAAAATAATATTTATATATTATTCTCTTATGATTTTAACGTGATGATGTAAGAAGGTTTTTAAAAAGTTATATTTATATATTTTAAAATGAAAATCACTTTACAGCACTGCGTCAAGAAGCACTGACCATGACAAAATAGAACATTGAAAGTGGTGTCCATATTACAATATTTGCTTGTGCTGATAGTCCCGCATCGTCATCGACGGCTAGCCTATAAATGTCATGGCATCACCTTGGCATGAAACAGAACAAATATCTACTTCCTCCCAAGTTCCGACCAAGCTCACAGAAACCTTTTTTCTTTGCTTGCAGCCATGCAAAACACAAAACCTCATGCAGCCTTATTATCCAGCCCTGGCATGGGACACCTTATCCCTGTCCTTGAACTAGGCAAACGCCTGGTCACTAACCATGGCTTCACTGTCACAATTTTTTTTGTCACAACAGAAAACTTCTCGAAATCCCAACTTCTCAAGCAAACACCTTGTCCTGACCTGCTTAACATTGTCTTGCTACCACCAGTGGACGTTTCTAGCCTAATCAGCCCAACTACTGGCATCCTAGCACAACTAGCAATTATGATGCGGGAGGCTTTGCCACAACTACGGTCTGCAATACTAGCCATGGAGTTTCGTCCAACGGTTCTTATTGTTGATTTTTTTGGAACCGAAGCTATGGTCATTGCTGATGAGTTTAACATGTTGAAGTACGCGTTCATGACTTCCACTGCATGGTTTCTTGCACTTACATTACATATGCCAACTATTGACAAGGCAATTGAAGATAACCATGTTAAGAACCAACAAGCTCTATTGATTCCCGGCTGCAAATCACTTGAGTTCAGGGATACGTTTGAGCCAGTTTTAGACCGAAATGATCAGATGTACATAGAGTACAAACGCATGGGGGTTGAGATGCAGAAGTTTGATGGTATTTTGGTGAATACATGGCAGGATTTGGAGGGCACAACACTTGGTGCACTTGAAGATGAAAAGAGGTTGGGGAGGGTGGCTCAGGTTCCGATCTACCCCGTTGGGCCACTGATTAGAGAAATTACACCAGGTCCGAAGAGTGAGGTCATAGAGTGGCTGGACATGCAGCCTATTGAGTCTGTGATTTATGTCTCGTTTGGGAGCGGGGGAGCCCTATCAGCCAAGCAAACAACCGAGCTAGCTTGTGGGCTAGAGTCAAGCGGCCAGAGGTTTATCTGGGTGGTTCGTCCACCCATAGAAGGCGATTCAGCAGCAACCGTATTTAAGACAAACCACGGAACTGACGACACCCCAGATTTCTTGCCTGATGGATTCTTGACCCGAACCCGTAAGATGGGACTAGTTGTCCCACTGTGGGCACCTCAAACCGAAATCTTGAGCCATCCATCAGTGGGGGGATTCGTATCACACTGCGGGTGGAATTCAGCCCTGGAAAGTATAGTTAATGGAGTTCCCATGATTACATGGCCACTCTATGCAGAGCAGGGGATGAATGCTGCAATGCTTACCGAGGATATAGGAGTGGCCATTCGTTCGAAGTCATTGCCAACAAAGGAAGTGGTGGGTCGAGAAGAGATAGAGGCAATGGTTCGAACGATCATGGACAAAGGTGATGCAAGAAGGGCAAGGGCCAAGACTTTAAAATCAAGTGCTGAAAAAGCTCTGAGCAAGGGTGGCTCCTCTTGCAATTCACTTGCTCATGTGGCAAATGACTGTGAGACGGCCTTCAAATACCTTAAAGCAAAGGCTCAAGGTGCATAGAGGCCACGAGCAACATCCTCGAAAAAAGTATTTCGCATATTTACTTGGACCTCTACATTAAGTCCTCTTTGAATTTCTATCTGTGATTTCTTTTTCTTTTTTTCAATTGGAATGATGAAAGATGCACTCTCTCTCTCGTTAATTACTAAATAATCTGGAATAAAATATATAACATTTGCTGATTTAAAATTTTCATCAGTACGCCTCCAGGTTTCAATGGCTTTGTTCAGCCATGCCATCTCAGATTCATCCAAAATATTCCTCCATCTCGAATCATAGTGTTCCAAGCAGTCCTCTCATCAAGCTTTAATAGGCTCAAAGTTGATCAGCATTATCTTTCTGACATCAGAACCGGCCGGAAAAGCTGAAAGGCCGGAAGAGACTAACATAGAGTATACCATTATATTGTTCAACAAATCCACTAGACTCCAATGAAGACGGGAAAGTAACATAAATGCAAAAGTAGAAACTTCAACAACACGACAGGATATCCAATCCCCTTGTGCCGAATGAAGAGAGTGCATGTAACGCTGCTTGACGACTTGATACTAGATGCTAGAAACAATTAAGAGACTATTTCCTAGCGTGGCAGCTCCTATCTTTTCTTTTGTTTCTAGGCAATCAAAAAGTTTTTGTTTTTGTTTTTTATTATTATTAAACTGTAATTATTTTTTAAATTTTAATTTTATAAAAATTAAAATAACATGGTTTATTTATTTATTTATATAGATTTAATTTTCATTTATTGTACATATAAAACATTTATCTTACAATAATTTTAATTAAATACATATTTTTTTTAAAAAATTCTAATATACTTTTTCACCGCAACTCCAAAATCTGCTACGATGTCGAAGCTTCAACGGATCCTAATTTTACCAGAAGGTATGAGGAATTTAGACCCGTGAGTCTCTCCTGCGAGAGTGGGAGCCGTGAGGACTGGAGTTCAAGTCATGGTCTCAACAGTCAAAAATCAAACAAATGGATACAGTTCTGCAGTAATTTATTAACAACCATAGAAGAACAGCTTCATATTAACTGAGCTACAGGAAAAGGGCTATAATGAAATACCAAGAACTAGAAAATTATTCATGTAGCAACCAGAAGAGGACACACCGTGAGTTGTAAAAGGCTACAGCCAGTATTCAAGACAGTCTTTTTATATGTACCATTCTAACCTGGACCACAAATATTTTCATTATATCAAGTTTCTCTTAAAACTAAATTTTTATCTCATTTTTGGGGATGGGTTTCATGTTTTAAAAATTAACATTTGAACCAAATATAATTTTTTATGATTTTTTCAGAGCTCGGACACTATCGTATAGCCAAACACAGTCTCTCTGCTGCAAAATTTCCATTGTATAGTTCCTAATCACTTTCACCCACAACTTATTCGACGTTTTTTTCACTCTTTCGATGCAGCTAAAGTCAAGCTACGCCTTCCCATCAACAGGCTTGCAAGTTCCAAGTCTTGCCGTGAGTTATAAAAATACGATAGACTGAGGAACACTGAAAATATAAGAAATATCAGCAATGTGTAAGAAAAGTAGAACTGTAATGGTCTCCGCAATGATTTTGATGGATCAATACACACTTAACTATGTTACGTTATGTGGTCAAACAATACGTGGCTCGTCTACTTTTCACCGAAATTGCATTTTGTATCAGTCTCCTTGACCATACGCACATTATTCTCCAGTGTTATTCCAAAGTTCCCGTCCATATAGGTTTATGGGAAATGAAGCTCCAGAATAACATAGGATATTTATTGGTTCGGCATATTGATAATTTAGGAGATGCACCAATTAGTAATGTTTTAGCAATGAGAGTAAAGAAGAAAAACTATAGATTAAGTTGAGATAAATAAGACCTCAATGAGTTCTCTTGAATGAATTCTGAAGTCCGACGCTGATTGTGCCCTGCAAAGTGCGGGGTTGAAACTCAAAGCATTAGAGGAGGAATTATCAATGCAATTAATTTTTGCAGATCAAATTCTGATCCAAGCAAAGAACTTCGCCTTCACTGTTTGCAGAGCCAGCCAGAACACGAAGGCAACTTGGAAAATAGCACAAAACCCCTACTTAACAAAAAGACTTCAAGAATAAATAAGATATATTTATAAAAACTAATTTAAAATCCAAAATATTTAGCCACTGCTTATAACTCTATTTATTTTTGCATTTTAAAAATATTTAAAAAAAAAATAATTTTTTTAATTTTTTGCTTTAAATTATTTTTTTATTTTTTTAGGCTATTTTAATACATTAATATTAAAAATAATTTTTTAAAAAAATAAATAAAATATTATTTTAATATATTTTTAAATAAAAAAAATTTTAAAAATAATAATAATTATACTCCCAAATAAACTCTACATGTAGCTTCAATACGACCATCTTCGTCCACTGGAAGGAATTCTGCAGCTTTGCTTAAGACACGGAAGATGGGAGCGGCTGTCTCAATGCGAGCCGGCAAACTGAGATTTTGAATCATCCGTCAGGAGGTGGATTTTTACCACGTGGTTGGAACTCAGCCGTAGATAGCACAGCTAATGGAGTGCCAATGATTCCATAGCCACTCAACGCAAGAGCAAGGGATGAATGCTGCTTTGCTTGCCGAGGATACTGGAGGAGCCATTCGGTCGAAGTTGTTGCCATGGAAGGAAGTGATGGGTGAGGAGATAGAAACGATGATTAGAAATATTATTGAAGACCAAGGTCATCCAAGAAGGGGCAGAGTCAGGGCGCACTAAAATTAAGTGCTGAGAAAGCTTTGAGCAAGAGCGCTTCCTCTAATTCTTTTGCTCAAAGTGGTGAATTACTCTACGACTACGAGCGGTTCCTCTAATTCTTTTGCTCAAAGTGGTGAATTACTCTACGACTACCTGAAAGCAAAGGCTCAAGGCCCTCAAAACCAATAGAGATCCTATAAAAAGCTACTTGCTGCAATAACTACAGCATATCCATGCACCTACAAGAAGTCCTCCTTGAATATCCATGGCGGTTGTGGCTGAGATTTCTTTTTCTGATGTAGAGGTCGGAAATAAAATTTAGCTAATATCATAAAAAAGACTAAATCTATATAAGTACTTGGACATCACAAACTGATTTTGGAGCTTAAAAATATTCTCTTGTGAAATAAAAATAAATATGAAGTTTAATGCGCAATTACAGGCTGAAGTTCAATTTTCTTCATCTTACGTTCTTATTTTTTGGGAGGGTCCTTGGCTATTAGAAACAAGAATCACACACCTATGGGTTCAGTAGCTTTATTCAGCCATGCCATCTCAGATTCATCCAAATAAGGGGCCAGAATATCCCTACATCTCCCATGGTAGATGTTAAGCCAATTTATCTCTTCAGGACCTAGAAGGGTCAAGTCGATCATCTTCGTTTGATATGGTGCCTGGACATCAAGAGATCATGGAAGGTTGATAGTAAGACTGAATTGTAATTGGGCTTTTCTTCAACAAATACAAAAACCTCGAATGTGCAGGGAGGAAAATGGAAATATACAAGTTAAATCTACAACAAGGTGACAGAAGATTCAATCTTTATGCTAGCTGGATTTTCGCAGAGAAAATGTTTACCTAGTACCAAAGACAGTAGTTTTAAACTAACTTCTCAACAACATTTATAGCACACCTTCAACTTTAAAGCTAATTGAGCCATGGGGAAGGCCAAATTAAATATTATCATAAACTTTTCTTTGTACACAAACTATGAAATTATTTCCAGAGCAACCAAGGAGGCAAGAGCTAGGAAAAGGCTCAAGTTAGAGCTTGGGACTGCCAGTCTCATACACTTCAAGATTTACTGTTCCAACTTCACCAAAAGAGTTACTTTTCATTTCTCTAAATTCGAATAGTTCTGTTGAGCAGTTGATCATTTTAACTCAATGGAATATTGGACTAGATTTCCTGTATTTGTGTCTGCTTGCTTGGACTGTCAAATGATTCCCTATCTTTTCACGTTATCTTGACTATTTTGATTCATAGCTAAGGCAAGTTAAATATTCCTATTTTTTTCCTTTTCCAAAGAATTCATTTCCATAGTCTTACCTCAAGAAACAGATTATTAGAAACAATTGAAGCATATTCAGGAGCACAATCACTGTAGAAATTTGATGGATGCGCATGTGCTTACCCATGTTATGTGCTCAAATGATAAGTAGCCCTTGTCACCAAAATTGAATTTTGTATCAGCCTCCTTGACAATAAGCACATTCTCTAATCTTATCCCGAAGTTCCCATCCTCATAGTATCCAGGTTCTGAGAAATGAAATCCAGTATTATACAATTTCAATGGTTCTAGCATAAAGATGCGTTTTTGGTTCTTGAAAGTAGAACAAAATGCATAGATATCATTCAAACAACATGAAAACATCAATAAAATATTAATAATTTAAGTGGAGATTCGTAAGTCTGTAAATATAGATAAGCTATGTCAGGGTGCATAGTCCTCATATGATGGGTCTCTTGACTACTCCTGAGCTCAATGTGTCCTAGTAAAGTGCAGGGTATGTTACTCGGAACAATATGCAGAGACAGAAGTTTAAAGAAACAAGGCCATTAGAGTAGGAATTATTAATATAATTAACTCAAAGCCAAGGTAAACCTAAGGGGAGACCACTCTGAGTATCGGAGCACATCTGCCAGAATTGATAGGGAATGCAACCACCATTGTAAAAGAAGAAGAAGAAGAAGAAGAAGAAGAAGAACACAAACATATATATGAAGGGAATATACACGGATCTAAGCCCCAGTATTTTGGAGATATTCTTTCTGAACTAGAAGAAAAGCAATGAAGATTATAAACTAACCATCCGTTACAGTCATGGAAGCTTGCAGGGGCACATTACGAGCATGTGGTCTGAAACTAATTAAATGAGGTCCTGTCAAGATGGTTTTGAAAAAGGTAATCAGCTTATTTATCAAACTAAAAACAGAGAAGAAAAAAGGCAACAGTTAGCAGCTGTTGCTCATTGCTTACCTTCATGTACATTTAGGTATGATCCAATACCATGACCAGTGCCATGTCGATAATCAAGACCATCCTTCCATAAAGGAATTCGAGCAAGAATGTCAAGGGCATGACCTATAAAATACAATAAATCAATGGATGAGTAAAATCAATATAACTTGATGTTTCACTGTAACATGGTTTGCCAGTTGTACACATGAATATAAACAAACGACAGAGATAAAAGATGAAATTACCATTAGTTCCATTGGGAAAACAGGCATTACCCAAAGCAATGTGACCCTTGAGAACCTGTATAATATTAATTTCATAAGAGTTGGATGAAAAGGAGTGGGAAGAGAGAAAGGGAGAGCTTTGTAATGATATCAAACTACCGTAATCTCCAGTTCCATATAATTGAAATGTTCAAAGGGAAGTCTGAAGCCACATACCGCAGTGTAGCATGCTTTTTCATGCGTTGATGGATTCCCAAAATGGACCGTGCGAGTTATGTCAGTTGTTCCATCCAGATACTTCATGCCATTAAAATATCCAAGGAAAATAAGACATCATTAAGCAGTATAATATTATACAGATTTTGTGATTATAAACCA